AGCTGGGCTTGGGGAGCCTGTTGTAGCCACAGCTGCAGCAGCAGCAACTTGCAGTCCTCATCCAGTTCCAGTTCTGCCTCTGTCACGGCACGAATGCAGCGCAGCTGCAGCTGCAGCTGCTGCAGCTGCCCCTCTGGCGACGTGTATGCACAGCAGCAAGTATTCGGCTTGTCATTTGCCTGCTGCTGCTGCCTCAAGGCACCCCTGCTCCCTTTGGCTGCCAGCTCGTGCTGCTGCAGCAGCAAGGAGCGCAGCAGAGCTGTCTTGGCGAGTGGCTTGATGCGGTCAAAGACCTTCCACAGCCGCTCCGCTGCAGCAGCTGCTGCAGCAGCTGCAGTTGCTGCAGCTGGAGTTGTTTGTAAACACTGCAACAGCTGCAACGCAGCCTTCCTTTGCCTTTCCCCCTGTTCAGTCAGCAGCTCGAGCACAAGGCAAATCAGCAGCCCCCGGCAGCAGTGCGGTGACCCCTCAGGGGCCCCCAAAACTTCAGGGGCCCCCCGTCTCCAGAAGTGGCTGTCTAGCAGCAGCTGCACAAACAACGACGCCACAGGGATCGAAGCCGCTACATACTGCTGATGCTGCAGCAGATCCAGCAACCGCCAGAATAGCCGGTACTGCCCCCCTTGCTCTCCTCCCTGTTGCTTTCCGAGCGATTCTTGCTGCTGCTGCTGTTGCTGCTGCTTCTGCTGCTGCGCTGGGTCCTGCTGCACAGAGGAGCCAAAAAGCAAATGCTGCACGCATGGGAGCCTCCATAAATTAGGCCCGAGAGTGGAAATGCCCCAACTAAGGCCTTCCGCTGCTGCTGCTGCTGCTGCTGTTGCTGTTGCTGCTGCTGCTGCTGCTGTCGGGTTGTCTGCTTGCGACTGCAACAAAGTGGAGATGCAAAGCTGCAGTGGCCCCTCCAGTAGAGAGACATCTTGATGCTCCAGCAGCAGCAACAGCTGCTGCTGCTGCTGCTGCTGTGCCTGCTGCCTAATGGACTGCAAAAGCGCGTCGCGGGGGGCCTCTGTTAAAGTGAACGCCGCAAACTGCCTCAGAAGTGCGGCGTTGTCTCGTTTTCTCGTGCCTCGCGCTGCTGCTGCTGCTGCTGCTGCTGTTGCTGCCGCTGCTGCATCTTCAGTGACACATGTCAAAGTTGCAGCAGGGAAGAGGCCCCTTAGGAAGCGGCGGGCAAAGCATAAGGCCACAGTTGCACCAGGAGTGTCTCGCTGCTGCTGCTGCTGCTGCTGCTGCTGCTGCTCTGAACGCTCCTGCACCTGCTGCTTAGCGGCCACACTCCAGCAAGTACAGAGCAGTGCTGAGGAACAGGTGGCAACGGCTGCACTACTGCTTCTGCTGCTGCTATTGCTGCTGCTGCTGCTGCTCCTGTTGCAGCTGCCGTCTGGTGAGTACACAGTGAGGGGAGAAAGAAGAAGAAGGACCCGCTGCACCATCCGTAAGATACGCTGAAGTTTCCCCTCTATTCCGCTGGCCTGGCGATGATCCATCAGCAGCTGTTGCTCCTGGTGCATTAGCTGATTAAGCCAAAGACAACACAGCTGCGCGTACACCGCAGCAACTGCGGCAGCATGAGGGGGCAATAAAAGCAGCTTAGCACGCTCCTCTTCTGCTGCAGGTGACGGGCGGCTCTGCCTTCCTGCAATTGCTGTAGTTGCGGTTGTTTCTTCTTCTGCTGCTGCTGCTGCTGAAGGCTCCGTTGCTGGTGCTGCCTTGGCTGCTGTCCGAGCCTTCGCGAGGTTCTCTGCTGCCTGCATTAGGCAGGCAGCAAACAGCTGCAGGCTTTCGAGGTGTTGCATGACTTGTAAGTCACCATCGATTCCACTCGTTGCAGCAGCAGATCTCGATGCAAGGGCGCGGCACCTGGGGTCGAGGTGCTGCCTGAAGTGAACTTTCCAAAGGCTTTGCACCCACTGGCTGTCAAATCTTTGGTTGTTGCTGTTTGCCACCCCAAGGGGGCCTGCAGCTTCTGCTGCTGCTGCTGCTGCTGTTGCTGCATTGTTGAACAGCGAGTTCAGCGACTGAGTCACCTGCGGTGAAGGGACCCTCGGCGTCAGCGAGCTACAAAACAGCTTCTCTCCTGCAGTTGCGGCAGCAGCAGCTGCTTCTGGTGCTGGTGCTGAGACAGCTGGTGTAGCTGTTGCTGCTGTTGCATCTGGGGAGTAGACGAAGTGCAGTAGCAGCTGCAGCGCCTCACACAGCAACGGATCTCCTGGCGGCAAAGGAGTCCAACAGGACTCCTCGAGAGCACAGGAATCCTCCATAGGAGAACAAAGCCATGGAATCCCCCAATCCTAAACAAGAAACCCTAAACCCTAAGCCCTAAGCCCACGAATTCGTACGCGACGAAGACGAGCAATCGATTGTAGGCAGCCTACAGCATATTCATTGATATGGTCATCGACCCTGGCCACCTCTCTCTTTTTATGCAAAAAAATACAAAAGGTGAGGAGAAACAATAGGAAAAGATAAAGGGGCAATTTGGTTTGGAAGGGGGGCCCCGCCGCGGGGCCCCACAATT